GGTCTAGATGGAACTGAAGCTGTGTGTTGCAGTGAGACGGTCTGATTGCCTTCCTGCTTGTTCAAAGTCTGCTTTGGCACTTGGGAGTGACCTTGGGCGGGTTGAGCCTGGTTTTCCTCTTTTTAAAATGGGGTTATACTTAGCGCTGCAGGGAGCCATGAGGATTAAAGACACTCACGTGAGCAAGGCACCTGGGCAGGGTGCAGGAGAGGTGGGCAGCCTGGGGCCCGTCATGTCATCTCCTGGTGTGTCTTTGGTTGCTTTGTACATGAGACCCCTGTGAGTGCCAATCTCAGAGTCGTGGGGTTGCTCAGGGATGTGAGCTGTGCCCAGTTCCTAAGGTCACACTTTGGTCCCTAGTGAGGGCCAGGAATCTTGTTCTTCTGCCTCTCAGTAAAGGGCCAGGGACAGAGCCTGGAGGCCACCTTGCTCTGGGCCCTGGTGTCTTGGCTTGCTAGGATTTGGCTGATTGTCACAACAAGTGGATGGATGAGGACTGCACTGGGGCTGGGCACAGGCAGGTGTGGCTTCTGAGGGTGCCTGGCTCCCTCAGGAAGGGTGGCAGGCAGTATCCTGCCAAGTAGAAATGTGTGTTTTATGGAGAAGAGAGATGCCTGGCATGGTGGGGGGTAAGCATGGGACCCTGAGGACAGGCATGGGCAGGAAGTGGGGTGGGAGCCCCTGGCTGGCCTGTGGGGTTGATGGGTAGAAACTGCAGGGAGGAAGTCAAGGACACAGCCTGGGTGGAGGCCCTGAGGTAGGGGACAGCCTGGGCATGGGGGGACAGGGTCCCCAGATGGCAGGGCTAGGTTCAGCATGAGCTGAGGCATGGCCAGCTTCCTGAAGTCTGTGAGGGCACAGGTGCCTGCCTGGTGGTTTCAAAGTGCGGGGCGTTAGGTGCTGGGATGTGCGTTGGCTGTGCTTCCTGGGCCACTCAAAACTGCTCCTAGATCGCCCTGTTGGCTCTGGGGCCTGGGGGAGGGGGCAGGTGGGATGCTGGAGACAGGGGTGCCAAACTCCCAGTTTGGGTTGGTGGGGCTGAGTACCCCATGTGTTCTTGTCTCTCAGAAATGGGACATGCCCCTGTGGATTTCAGGTGTCCCCTGGGGCCCAGGGTGCTGGCCAGGAGGCATTTGTGTACTCAGGCCAGCCTCCTCTGCTGCTGTGACTCGCTGTGCTTCTCCAGCAGGCTGGGCTTCTCCAGCAGGCTGGGCTTCTCCAGCAGGCTGGGCTGAGCAGACACAGAGGTGTCAACACCTTCCATCACTCAGCAGGATGGACTTGCAAGCTGGATGAGGTGGGGCCTACCGTCGCGGCCTGCTGGAGAGCAGGCCGCCCAGGGCTTCTCTTGCACCTGGCGGGTCCTGGTGCTGGGGCTGCTCAGCCCCTTTCCAGCTAACCCTCTGCAGTTGTGCCTGGAGTTCTGAATCCCTTCCCACTTCTGTCTAAGGAATCTCCCACCTCTCTCAGACCCTCATCAAGTTTTCTTGGCCCCCTTCTCATGAAATCCAGCAGACCCTCTGCCCTTGGCAGCAACTCACGGTAACTGCACCCACCCTCAGAGGCTATCTGGGCCTCTCGTCCCCTGCCCGCCTTGCCTAGCCCTCCTGTGTTGACCTTGCGGCAGCTTCTCTTCCAGGATGTCTCCATAGGAATTCACACAGCAGACCCCGCCTCTGTCCAGCCCACCCAGGGCTTCAGTCATCTGCTGAGCTCCTTGGGGTCCTTCGAGCATAAACAGCTCCCTTCTTTTCTGGAGTGGGAAGGGCACAGCACAGCCCACTTGCTTTCTCAGCGGGAAGGAACCCGGGGCTGGTCCTCTTTCCTCCCTCCCTGGGTTCTGCCAGCCCTTTGCTAGCTCCACTGCTCTGCCCCTCGGAGCCCAGCCCCAGCAGCAGTCCCACTGGTGTCCCGCCAGCAGTCCATTCTTGGTACCGGAGCAGCAGGAGACCCACTCCCCACCAGCTCTCCTCATGTCCGTCACTTCTGGCTACTGCTGTCTGTCATTCTTAGGAGTGTCCAGATGCCCTCATAGGCGAGAGTGCCCTTTGAGCTCAGAAACTCCCGAGCTGCTGGACTTCCCTGCCTGGGGCTGTAGCTCCCCAAGCTTGCGGCAGGCCCTTTTGGAGTTCTCAGGCTGGTTGGGCTGATGCCAGGACGTGTGTTCCTGGGCCAGGCAGGCCTGCACTGCATGTATCGTGACAGTGCCCGGAGCCCAGGGGGCATGCGGGGCATATCTGTGGGAGGGTGTGCATGGCAAAGTGAGGGGCTCTGGGGCATCTTCCAAGGGCTGGAGCACAGCATTGGGTTCTGCCTGACTCCTGTATGCTAAGGGAGCCCCCAGCAGCCCTCCACCTCATCTCCAGGCAAATTTGTCTGCATGATGTTTCACTGGAATCTTGCAAATGATCTTTAGTACTCTAAAGTTGTACATGCATATAGTTTAGAGAGTAAATGCATTCTACAAGATTAATTAAGAAAAACAGCAATCCCTGGTGCTCCTCTTTTGCCCTCCCCAGAGCCGAGTACGTCTGATTCTGAGAGTAGATTCTTTTGATGTTTATCTTTTCTCTAAATGCTGCATTGCTATTTGATTTTTTTAAAGCATTTAGGCATTATATTGACTTGCAAGATGTGGAGATTGAAGTCTCTTTTCACACCCGTGTGTACAGTTACAGGCACGCACACCCCCTCAGGCACTCATGCACACGTGTGTGTACACACGCACACACTTGCACATGTTACGCTGGTGGCATCCAAGCATACTGTGCACATGCCACGCCACTTCTCATCTCCTGCCTGCCTTTCTGGTTTCCCTGGGTTCCTGATTGCCTTCTGTGCTTGGGTCCTAGACAGAGAACCCTCTTCCACTGTCTCATGTTTCTTCATATCAGTGGTTTGTTGTCTCATCTTCATGAGGAAGTCTGTCCAGAACCTTCTATGGGGCATGGTCAGTGGGTTGCCCACCTTGTTCAGCCGCAGTCCTGGTTCCCTTTCCTGCCTCTGGTTTAGGCAGTCCTAGCTGACTTCCTTCCTTAGATGACCCCTGGTTTTTATAGAGTACATCCTGAAGTCCTCAAGTCTCCATGGGACTGTGGGGCCTTTGTTATCTGGGCTTCTTCCTCGGGGTGTGGGGGACAGTGCAGTTGTGTCTGGGCACTGCAGCCAGACTGCCTGGCTCTGAAGCCTGTCTCCTCCAGTTACCAGCTGTGTGACCTTGGGCAAGTTATCCCCTGTCTCTGGGCCTTCGTTCCCGCACCCTGCAAGGCGAAGGTGACCTTGCCATCTCACAGGGCTGGAGCCTGTGAAGGTGGTGGACTCAGATGAGTGCTGGTGCTGTGTGTGGGAGTGCTGTCCGTGAACTGTCAGCTCTCCACTGTTTCTTTTCTGAAGAGTTTCTCTCCTCTTCAAGTTGGGTCCCCGTGTGTCCTTGCTGTACCCACTAGGTCCCCCTAGGAGGCCCTGCTGTGGAGGGCTCCTCGAGTGCTGAGGTCTGCCTCACATGACCTGATCTAACATGGAGCCCCTGGGCTCCCTGAGCCCCTCTGGGCAGCAGACCTCCACAGCCTCTTCCCCAGCCAGTCCCTGAGCCCTGCTCCCCGCCCACAGGGCACAAGGCCTCAGGCAGGTCCCCAGGGTTCCCTGGGGCTTGCAGGGTCCCTCTGCCAACTGTATCTCCTGCATAGCTGGATTTCTTTGTACCCAGCCACCCGATCAGAATGAGGATGCGGCTGGCCCCAGACCCAGGTGCGAGGCCGAGCCTGCCCAGAGACTCACATGAGCCCAGGTAGCTCTCACTGAGGTGCTGTGCTTTGAAAACTAGTCATTTTCCATAAAAATATTTAGGTTAGGGTAATTGGTTAACCAATGTTATTTCAAAATGAATCAACAAACAACTGAAAAGTCTGTTTAATTTCAGACGAGTAAATATCTGTGGATAGACTCCACATGCACTAAAGCTCTTTGGGCCTCAGTGATTCTTAGCAGTGTCCTGGGGGCCTGAGACCAGGATGCTTGGAGTCCCTGCTGCCACTGCTTTGGTGGATGACAGTGCGACCATGCCCAGGAGCTGATCCCAGGTGGACTCCTTGGGGATCCTCAGGTGCTGGGACTCAGGCTTGCTTCTGACCCTCTGTGCATCTAGCTCCCTCTGCTCCAGACCCCCTCTTCCTGCAGGGCTGCATGGTTTGTGGGTGGTCACTGTAGGGTCTTCAGAACTGAGGCTGGCCAGACTGCAGGCGTGACAAGTGACAAGCTGGATCTGGAGGGCTGGGGCGTCCCCCGGGGAGGCATGCACAGGGACCACCTTAGGGTCTGGGAGCCTGGAGGCGCTGCTCTGCCCGCGTCCAGCCAGAGAGTATCTCATGGCCCCTGGTCATGGCTTGGTTTGGAGGAAGGGTGCCAAGCCACTGGGTGGCTGGTGTCACTGTGGAGTTGAGAGCTGGGTGCCCTGAGCATGTCATGTGTGCCATGGCTCCTAACAAACCTGGGGAGTAGGTACTTTCACTGCCCTAATTTTAGAGAGGAAGAAACTGAGGCCCAGAGGGATCAGTGGCTTATGGAGAGTGGCACAGGTTAACAAATGGCTGGTAAGATCCCCTCTGCAGCCTGACCCTGCTTTGCTATCCACTAGGGGCCGCTCAGGCAGATGGTGCTGGAGGCAGAGATGCGGCCGGCGGCCTCAGCTCCTGGGCAGCACCAATCAATGCGGGCAAGCCAGGGGAAAGCCAGCCAGAAACTTGGTGGAGTGGGAATAGGGGAGTAGGGCTCCCATGGGACTTCTGCAGGGAGAGCTCGGGCGTGTCTTCCTCAGGGCCGTGTTTTCATGGAGTAAGTGGCTGCTGTAAGGGGCTTGGTGGAGCCACTCCCTGGAGGCTGCGTGAACCCAAGGGTTCAGCTGGAAAAAGACACCGAGGACCCAGGCTCACGATGGGCATGAAGCCCCTCTCCACCTTGGGTCTGGATTTAACCCCTTCTCTTTTTCTTCTTTCCCTCCCCAGTTTTTGTGTTTCTTCCAGCTCTTGAGGACGCTGCCTGCCCTTTCTGCTGTGAGAAGATGTCGTATGGGTCCATCACCAGCGGAGGTGGCCTGGGGACCCGTGGCCCTTTTAGGGGATCCTCAAGGCAAGGCTGTCAGCCTCCAGGTAAAGACACACAGCTGGCACCTAGGATGGGTGGGCATGGTGACAGTGGGCAGGTCTTCTCCATGTCATGTTCCCTGAGGAGTGTGACCCGTGACCAGAGACTGCTGTGGCTGCTGAGCTCCAGATGCAGGGGAGTGTACGGACTGAGGGCTGTCCTGTGTGGGGGCAGACTGTGGGGTCAGCCTTCCTGTGGGGTGAGGAGCTGGCGCTCAGTGCTGAACTGTCGATGGTGCCCGGGTGTCTGGTCGTGGCTGAGTGCATGAATGACGACATCCAGCCTTCTTGATGCTGCTGCGGAGCAGGTGACCATTTGTGTAGCACGTGGAGAAGAAAACTGAGCCCTCACTCGGGGGATGACAGCTCCTGGGGCTGTGCGGCTGGTGCAGGGCAGGACTGAGATCTACCCTGACCCTGCCTGTGTGCGTCACTGAGCTCTCGGGCTCGCCTTGGGCCTCATGGCCACCTCCCTGTTCAGCCCCCTGTAGAGCTGGCTGTTTGCCAGGCTGTGGCCAGTTTTACACATGTGGGTGTGACCTGTAAGGCAGCCCGGCTCCCTGGTTAGGCACGCCCTGGCTGCCAGGCTCGTCCGGCTGCAGTCTCTGGTGTGGGGCAGCCTCATGAGCTGCCATCTTGAGGTGAGGAAAGACATGGAATTTGGGGGCCTGAGCTCTCTGCTCACCTCTCCCAGCTCTGGGCCAGGCCATGGGTTCAGCCTAGCGGCTACTGCAAGCCTACATGTGTTGGGCCTGACTCCACTGAGCTCCAGGTGGGGGCTTCTCTGTGGGTTGGGGACTCTCTTCCCTGTGGCCCTCCAGGCTCCTGGCCAGGGCTCAGTTCCCCAGGCTGCCTGTTCAGAGGAGGAGGCCAGGCATGGGCCACCACTGGGCTTGTCATTGACTTTTAGCTCTGCGTCTCTAGCAAAGAGTGGGGCTGGTGTTTTTCTCACTTGTGGTGGGAAGTGGATGGTGCAGGAAGGGTGAGGGTCCCAGACCTCATCAGAAGTGGCCACCTCCCTCTTCCTCATGGGGCCACTGTCCTACAGGACCTCCCCTTCCTCTTCCCACAGAACAGCAGCTGCCCAGGCTCCTCCACCCTCAGCCTCCTCTTCTCCACTGCCGGGTGTTGTGTGCCAGGCTGTGTTCTAGGAGCTGGAGGCATGGGGGAGAGGAAGCAGGTGAGCCCCACGCCCTAGGGTCACATCTGCCTGGGAGAGTTTCTGAGATCACCTCACGTGGGTGCCGTGAACTGTGTGAAGGCCAAGACTGGGCTGGCTAGCCAGGGCTGCTTGAGCCGAGGAGGTGAGGGAGCCTTGGAATGGGGACAGTCTATGAGCCATCAACTGGAGCCTGGGAGGGGTGGCAGTGAGAGATGTGGGTGGAAGGGCAACAGGACAGTGTCCCGTCACATGCCTCCTTCCTCGGGGCAGGGGTACCCCTCAGAGTTCTCGGCAGGGTGCAGGGCGAGCGCCTTTCTGAGCCCTCGGTTTGCATGTGTTCTCAGGGCCCTGTGTGCGGTGCACGCTCGTGGTTCAGGTGCAGAATTCGTGGATCCTGGGCTACAGATCAGCACGTGCCCTTTCAGCCCGCCTCCCTCCCTCCAGCCCGAGGCCTGTGCGTGTTGCTCTGTTTCCTTAGTGCTGGTTTCTAAATGGCTTTGGGCCTTATCGAGTGGGACTGTGTAGTTCTGGGACTTACTTCTCCTCTGCATTTTGTTCCTGAGGCCAAAGGCACGGCCAGGGCTCCTTGCGCTCATTCTCCTGGTGCTCTGCATGCAGCTCCACAGTGCACTGTGGCATCTCTGCCAGCTCCATGTCTGAGGGATGCCCAGGTTGCTTCCCTTTCCATGCCAGCACAGACAGTGGCCAGAGTCTTCGGGATGGAACGAGGGTCGCAGTCCTGCGGGGTTCCTGTGCGCCTGCTCTTCTCATGCCGCCCACCCTCTTCCTCCGGCCCCACTCCATGTCTTTGTTAGCACCAAATGGTGTTGGACAGGGATGTTGCCAGGCTGTTGCCAGTTCATGCATGTGGGTGTGAGGCGGTCTGTCTGGCCTCAGTCTGTTTTCCTAGCTCAGGTGGGTGACCTTTCGTGTTTACTGGGCCCTGAGGTCTTTCCTGTAGTTCATTGCTCTTGTTTTTATCTTGGATTTGTCTTGTTCTTCTACATTTCCTCTGTGTTGGGGACGGAAACCCTCAATGACGTGCTGTGGACACCCCCGTGGGTCCTGCCTGCTGTGGGCAGGAATTCCCACTCCTCTCGCCCACACCACTCTCCTGTCAGTTGGTTTAATGATGTGCTTTTGTGTTCTCCAGGAAAGTGACCTCGTTGATGGCGTGAGGTCGTGTGAGCAGGGAGAGGGACTCTAACGTTTTTTCCACGATTTGAGCAGCAAATGGTCCAGACCGTGTATTCTGCCTTTTTCTGCAGACCTGCAGCACTGGCCAAGGAGAGCCAGTGTCCCTTGGGGCCTCTCGGTCAGTTTTCTATTCTGGTGTTAAATCTGTCTTGATTTTTGCAGCTTTCTCGTAATTCTGTTTTCCAGGGCAGGTTGCCCTTCTCGTTGCAGTATAGAAATGCTTTATGTATTTTGGGCTTTCTGTTATTGAACATGAAGTTGAGAATCAGTGTGTCACATTCCTGGGTTTGGCTGGCTGGCTCTGGGTCCGCCTGCCGAGGCACGAGCCTGCATGGGGACCTCCTACCCTGAGCCCACGACGTGTCGTCTTTGGATGTGTGGTCTTCTTTCACGTCTTTTGATAGAGCCTTGTCATTTTCTCCATGAAGATTTACATATTTTAAATTTGTTTCAACAGAAGAAGAACAACAAAAACCTGCTGCTATTTGGCTGCTATTTTCGGTGGTACTCTTCAGAGTATGACACTTCTCCAAATGTTTGTTGCTGGTGTATATATACAGTTGTTATTTTAAAAAGCAGCGTCCAGAGATTTTATTTAATTTAAATGTTTTGCTCTTTTAACTTTTTAAACATGGATACTTTCAAACCTACAAAAGTAGACATGGTGATGTGTCTACCCCCAGGGCAGCCTTCTGTGTTCTCTGTTGCTACCCCCCACTCCTGCCCGGCTGAGCTGGTCTGTACCCTCCCGAACCCCGACGAGTCAGGCTTCTGGTCACCTGGCCTGAACATCTAGTTGTCTCCAGTGACAGGGTTCCAGCGCTGCAGCGTGTCTCAGCCTCAATGCTGGGTCACTGAGCTCTCCCATGGCTGTTCTTGTGACACTTCTGTGTGCCTTCTGAGCCCATGATCACCTGGGTGCCTCCATCTCGATTTCTTTTGCCTCGAGGTCTGTTTGCTGGAGGGAGCAGGCTTCTGTGGAGTGTGGCCGACCTCTGCCCACTGTTCTGCACACAGCTTCTGCTAAACTCCTCTCCCTAATGGCCGTGACTTGTCCGCGGCATCTCCTCAGTTTCCTGTAAGATGACGTCGTTGTCTCTTCCTGTCCCTGGCTTCATCCTGTTTGTTTTCTTCCCTTCCTGAGCTAGCTGGAGCCTCTCTCCGAGGTTTGATGGAATTGGTGACTGCAGATGGTGCCCCCATGAGCCGTCATGAGCGTGAATGTGCTGGTGTTCCTCCCTGGCGTGCCCAGTCTCCCTGAGGTGCTCAGAACCCTGCAGTACCTACAGCTGGGAGCAGATGGCCTCACACCAAGGCTGTCTTAATGAAGTGTTGACTCCTGATGCACGGAGACTGGCGTCTGCAGACACCAGGTGCAGGACCTCGAGGCATGGTGTTCAGAAGGCTGTGGCAGCACAGCAACCTGTGGAGTTGTGGTAGCTTCCTTGGTGATCGTGGGATTGCCTGGATCTGCCCAGCATTGCAGGGGAGGGTCCCCTGTGTGTCACCAGCCCAGGAATAGACCTTGATTTCCAGTAACTGCTTTCCCACTTACAGTGAAAAGTCGGGCTGAACCGTCCCGAGTCACGACCCTCATGTATTCCTGTGAATTTGTGGGCACATAGGACTGTGTGTTTCTGGGATTTTGCTGGGAGACTGGTTTTGTTTGTAGGAGTTCTGACTTCCTGTTAAGTTCTCTTGTAGTAAAAATCTGTTCAGGTTTTTGTTTCTCCTTGGATCATTTTGTTAAGTGGCATTTTCTGGAAAAGCATCTGCTTCATCCAGATGTTCCCGTGTATTGAAGTGGAAGGAATGTGCACAGAGCTTGTCCTGGCCAGGTGCCACGTGGGCAGCACCCTGTGTGGGCTGGAGCGCAGACTCCAAATAGCCTGCTCTGGGCCCAGCACCATCTGAAAGTAGCAGGCAAGTTGGCCCCTGTGCTGGGCCACCTGGGGTCCAGGTTGAGTGAGTTGCTTCCTGTGTAGCCAGGGCCCCAGGAGGCATACAGTGGCCAGTCGCCCTTGTTGGCCACAGGTTGTCAGTGTCCGAGTGATGTCCCCTTCACTCCTGACAGTGTATTCGTCTTCCCGTTTTCCTCTTTGAAATAGGTGTACAAATCTCTCTGTGATGTGACTTCTGACTTTCTTCATGGTTTCTGCTACATGTTAGCTTCAAAATTTAATTAGCTTCTGCTTGTATTTTCTTCCCCTTTTCTCAAATTGATGCCATTTTATTTTTTCTGACTTGCAGATTGGATGTTTTTCTTGTTCATAGGCAATACTCAGCTTTTATTCTTTCCTAATAAAATTATTTAAAATAAATAAATTTCCAAAGAGGTACACTTAGTTGAATACCACACATTTAAAAACAGAGTATTTTAAAAATTTTTTAGTTCTAAATATTTTCTAATTTGAATTAGGATTTCTTTGACCCAGGAATTATTTACAAATAGATTTACTAATTTCTAAGCTTATGTATTTTTTTCATGTCTTTTAAAAGTGATTTCTAGTGTAATTTCATTTCCATCAGAAAAAGCTTGGTGTTGTCTTGACACGCTGACTCTTCACACTGGGGCTTTGTCAGGGTGCTGGTGGGGTCTTACTTAGCTCACTCTTTGGTGCAGTCCCCTCTACCGTGGTTGGCCTGGTTGGCCTGTGAAGGCTTCGGTGGGGCTGGCTGTAGAGGCCCAGTTACTTCCAGGCAGGACAGCAGGGAGACAGAGACAGCTGTGGAGGGACATGCCTGCAGGGTGAGGACAGCTACATTTACCCAGTCTGTGCTGGGCACCCAGGTCCTGTTTCCCCATCCGTAATTATGCAGCTTCAGGGCTTGTTCTCCGTTGAACTGTCTGGTTCCAGAGCAGCCAGCTTGGGGCGCCCGGAATGTTCCCTCTCTCAGCCTCTTCTCGGACTCCGTCTTAGGGAACAGTCAGTGAGGCAGGCAGAGGTGCTCACCATAGCATGGTTTCACAGTGCCAACTAGAAAGACTGAACGTACCAGTGCAGGGGTGCGGTCCACTAAGTGGCAGTCCTTAATGCAGTCTGACACCTCACTAAAATCTTAGTGCAGTGGGGCACTGGCACAGCCGATGTGCCCCAGCCACTTGGGAGTGAAGGCAAGAGGGTTGTAAGTTCAAAATTGAAAATAAAAATGGGCTGGGGATGTAGCTTAGTTGCAGAGGGTTCAATTCTTAGTACCCCCTCCCCCGCAAAAAATTAAAATAAACCACAGTGTTGAAGGACCTTGAGTGATTTGCTATGTGTTACAATTAGTGACAAATGTGGTAAATAAAAGAAGCAAAGCCATATACAGTATTTTAACAGGTTAACATTTATCTGGGGATATCTTTTTTTTTTTTAAATTTATAGTTGTAGATGGACAGCATGCCTTTAATTGTTTATTTTTTTATGCGGTTCTAAGGGTTGAACCCAGTGCCTCACACATGCTAGGCAAGTCCTCTGTTACTGAGCTATACAGCCCTAGCCCCATCTAGGGATATCTTGGTTGCAAATAATTTATTTTTAAATTCATAATTGTCTGCATTTTTAAAAAAGTATTTATCTTTATTTATTTTTGTGTGGTGATGAGGATTGAACCTAGTGTCTCACATGTGCAAGGTGGGCACTCTGCCACTGAGCTACAGCCCCAGCCCTAATTGTCTGCATGTAATTTGTATTATTCTACTCTAAAACAGTAAATGTCCCAGGCTTGTCCACCCCCAAGTTCAAGGTTTGTGTGATTCAGGTGAGCAGACTGGACCAGCCCTTGTAGGGGTGTTTGGGGTTCCCTGTGAGATAATGGGCCCTGCAGCCTAGCTGGGGTGGCCGGGTGCCGGCGTGGTGAGATGTGTGATGGTGGGGGCTCAGGCAGGGCAGCGTGGGTCCTCACTGCTGAGCAAATGGTGGTCCCAGTCACTGAGGGTCTGTACCTCCTCCTAGGCTGTCGTGCTGGGCAGTGACTGCTGGGTGGAGACTGTGTCTCCTGCAGGGAGAGCGTGGGAAGGGGGCCCAGCAGGTTCTCAGACACTGGCAAAGGTCCGGGCATCACCCCCGTCTGTGATTGGCCAAGGCTGCATCTGTGGCCTTTCTCCCCAGGTATCCAGAGCATTTGCTCTTACTCTGTCTCTGAAGATCACCTGGTGCAGTTCTTTGTCCTGTGCGAGCCTCCACCCCTAGAGCAGCTAGATTGCACCCTTCCCTCTCTCCTCCCTGTCTTAGCTGTTTCTCTGCTATGGCTAAAGGATCTGACCAGAACAACTGTAGAGGCTCACAGAGGTCTTAGTCCATAGAAGGCCGGCTCCATTCCTCAGGGCTTGAGGGGAGGCGGAACAGCATGGTGGAAGAGTTGGCAGAAGGAAGCAGCTCACATGTTGATCAGGAAGCAGAGAGAGTTTCTATCCCCCAGATACAAAATATGTACCCCAAGGCCACGCCCCCAAGTCCCACCTCCTCCACCCATTCCCTACCACTCCAGTTACCACTCAGATAATCCTCATTAAGGGATTAATTCACTGATTGGGTCAAGACTCACAATCCAATCATTTTCATTTCTCCTCTGAACCTTCTTGCATTGTCTCACACATAAGCTTTTGGGGGAAACTTCACATCCAAACCATAATACTCCCCTCCTGGCTGATCTCCTTGTCCCAAGGGCCAGAACTGGAGTATGTGTGGGCCATTTCTGGACTGTGAGCCAGGAGGCATGGGCCCCCTCGCAGAGTCTGTAAGACCAGGGTAGTTTGGGGCAGTGCAGCCCTCAGGCAGGTGTATGGTGGAGGAGGCACAGGGATGGTGGCTTCTGCAGAAGGGCCTGAGTGGACTTTCCTCCTGCCAGAGAGGCCTCTTCTTGGTGCTTCTAGGGGAACTGGCCAGGGGGGCAGGGCAGAGCTGTTGGTCTTGCATGCTTCTCTTGAGGGGGCTTAGGTACCCTAAAAAAATCTGCCCCGAAAGTCTTCCAGCATTGGGGGCTGTGCCCCTGCCTGTGGGAAGCCCACCCTTGCTCCTACAGAGCTGGGTATTTTTTTGGCAGCAGACCAGGCCCTTGCCTCCAGGAAGCCACAGCTTGGAGACAAAGCTCATGGGTAGGGAAAGACAGGGAGGCTCTGGTGCTGCTTGCTGGCCTGGCCGGGGCCCTGGTGGGCTGGGGCCGGAGGGCTGTGGCACACTGGGTGGCAGGGGAGCGTGCTGCAAATTGGGCTTTCTCTCCTGCTGTTGCCGTGGCTCCAGCGTGGGCATGGAGACCTAGGCCAGTGCCCACTGGGCTCATGAGGCTGTGCTTTGGCAGGCGGCCAGGTATAGATGGCACTCTGGCCTTTTGCTGACAAGGGCTGTTCTCAGGCAGAGTTTGTCCTACGGGTAGCCCCAGCAGGATGGACAGGGCCCAGGGGTGGCTGTCCCTGCCTTTCTGCCATGGTGGTGAAGAAGAAGGGAAGACAGGCAGTCCAGTGGAAGCTAGGGGGTCTTGAGCCCAGGACTCTGGGTGCCCAGCAGGGAGGTAGTCAGGAGCAGGCAGCTGTGTCCTGAAGCAGCAACCACAGAGGAGGCGCCCTGGGAGCTCTGCCGAGCTGCCACCCCCGCCAGGTCCAGGGACCTAAACACCCGCTTTGGTGCCTTTCCAGGACTAGGCGCTACCTCCAAGGGCCGCCGGACCCTGGAGCCCGCCTCACCCCCTGCCTCTGGTCCGAGGAAGGACCCTGCTGTGGGGCCCCCTGGCCGGAGGGCGGGACCCAGTGCCAGCCGGGCCAAGAAGAGGAAGCCCAACTTCTGCCTGCAGGAGACGGAGGTGCTGGTGTCCAAGGTCAGCAAGCACCACCAGCTGCTGTTTGGCACGGGGCTGATGAAGGCCGAGGCCACCCGTAGGTACCGTGTGTGGAGCCGCATCCTGCAGGCCGTGAATGCCCTGGGCTACTGCCGCCGTGACGTCGTTGACTTGAAGCACAAGTGGCGGGACCTGCGTGCTGTTGTGCGGCGCAAGCTGGGCGACCTCCAGAAGGCCACGCCTGATCCTGGCCTGGGCTCCGGCAAGCCACAGGCCTTGGCCCTCACACCTGTGGAGCAGGCAGTGGCCAAGACCTTCTCCTGCCCAGCCCTGCCTGCCGAGGGCATTGGCCTCGAGCTGCCCAAAGGTGAGTTCCTGGGCCAGCTCGCCCTCCAGACGTGTGCCGTGGCCAGAGGGAGGGTGGCTGCACCTTGGCCGCACTGCTACACCTTCCTCCACAGTGGTCTCCTCCCTGTCCATGTCTTCCTCTGTCCCCACTGTTGTCATTCAGAATGTCCTCATTCATTGTTCTTTGCCCCACTCCCTCGTTCACTTATGCCTGTTCATGACGTTCAGACATCTTTAATGTGCCAAGGTGCTCAGAAGTGGGTGGTGTCTGCCCACCTAGCTCTTGCCAGGGCCCACCTTGCCCTGTCCTGGAGCCACGCGGAGCCTACTTCTCTTCTCCCAGTCATTTAGGCAGTCTCTTCAATGTGATGGGAGTAAGAGATGTTGGGATCGTAACCACTGCTGAGTTACAGGCATTTCAAAGCTGGATATTTTGCTGCTTTTTCCTGTCCTATTCATTTAAAAAAAAAAAATGCTCACTGTGACTTGCTAAGTTGGTTCAATGACCTGGTTTCAGAGCTGTAATGTGAGATACTGCTGCTGTGTAATGGTATTTATTTTTTATCTAGTTATTATCATGGATTATACCCAGGGGCACTTAACCACTGAACCATATCCCCACCCCATTTTGTTTTTTTATTTATAAGTTGCTTAGGGTCTTGCTAAGTTGCTGAGGCTGGCCTTGAACTTGAAATCCTTCTGCTTATTTATTTTTAAGAGGGGGCCTGTTGCTGTGTTTGACAGGTTGGCCCTGAATACCTGGGCTCAAGCCGACCTTCAGTCTCAGCCTCCAAGTGGCTGGGATGCAGGAGAGTGCCACCGTACCCTATGCTATGTCCCTGCCCATCAGAGACCTCAGTCCTGGTGGATTCAACCTGCTGCATCATGGTGGGCAGGTTGAGACCTGGGGGAAGGGTTTGCCCAGGGCTGCCCATGGCCTTTCTTGGAGCACCCAGAGGGTGTAACTCTGGGGGCAAATGACAGGTTGGGGAGGTCAAGAGAGGTCAGTTAGGCCTGAAGTCCAGGAGCTCTGAGTGGGGCCCAGTTATGTGTAGGTGTGGGTGACCCCTGGGCCATGGCAGCAGCTGCTGTACTAGGCCAGGAAGGAGTTGTGGGCCCTGCAGAGGATCCCAGTTGTGGAGGGTCGAGGCCCGGTTCTGCACAAGTCATGGCTGGAACTGGGCCCAGGCCCATCCCCAGAGCTCAGGGCTATGGCTGGTTGACCATGGCGGTACCTAGTGTGTGTGCTCAGATCTGCTCTGCCGCCCAGGGGCATGTGCAATGAAGACGAGGTGCCGCGTGTGGCTGCCTGTGGCAGAGCTGGCAGGCCTGCACAGTGTTTGAACAGGTGCTCCAGGCCCCTGGCCTGAGGGTGGGCCTTGGAGAGCTTTGAAACCAGGTTCTTAAAACAGGTAGAGAACTTAAGACTTGTGAAGATGGTGTCATCTGACTAGCAGCTGGCATGTGTACTGTCCCCTTCTCCGATACCAGCACCTGCCTGGTCCCCACCCTGTGCTGGACAGTCTTCTGACTGCTGTTCCTTGTTATCTGCAGGACGTGGTGTCCTGGAAGCTGTAGGACCTGCCTGTGTGCTGTCAGGTGGTGGGGGCCCTGGGATCTCTGAGGGCAAGGTCTGGAAAGGTCCCTGGGTCCAGACTGTGGGGCCCTCACTTGCTTCCTGCAGAGGTGAGGTTGAGGGGCTGCCTGAGGCCACACAGCCAGGGTCTTGCTAAGTTGAGCTGGTGCTGGGCCTTTGGCAGGCACCACAGTCTCTTATTTTATTATTTTATTCCTTAAATGAAATAATAGTCACACATCAGAATTCGCCATTTCACCCTTCTTACGGTGTGGAGTTCAGTGGTTTTCAGCATGTTCTTGCTGTCATGCGTCTGTCACCTCCATGTAACTCTAGAGCAGATCTTGTCACTCGCAGGCAGCCCGTGCTCTCCAGCATCCGCTTCCTGCCCCTGGCCTTGTGTGCTCTGGCTCTTCTGTGGTGGCACCTCCCATGCACCTTCATGTTGCTGGTGACTCTTCCAGCCTCAACCTTCTCTTCTGGAGAGTGGGATTGAGTGCTCCGCAGTCGGTGTTGTTGGTGTTTGGGGACAGTCTTCACTTAGGCGGGGATTGACACCTAGGAGCTGAATTTTTTCCCAGTGGTTGTACCTGAGCAGTGGGAGCGAGCGCACTTGATCTTCACCCTTGCCAGAGTTGGCGTCGTGGGACTTCGGGGGTCCAGGCACCGAGGGTGGTGAGGACTGGTGTCTGGTTGGTTGCTGGTTGGGTTTGCCTTTCCCTGGTGTGGAGCGTCCTGCGGTGTGTACTGGCTATTTGTAGTGTCTATTTGAACCCATCGCAGTGTGATATTGGGTTACAGTGTCACTGAGCTTATCATTCTGAACATTATGTTATCTTGTCACATGTCTGAATTTGAATATTTTCTTCAGACTGTGGCTTGTCTTTGTTTTCTAAACAGTGTTTTTGCAGGTGAAAAGTCTCACTGTTTGAGCAGTTTCTCCCTCTGTGCCTTTGTTTGTGTACTGCCTCATAAGTCTTTACCCACTCCCAGGCTGTGAGAAGTCCCTGCTGCTCTAAGTGTAGAAGTTCTTGACGTCAGGCTTCTGCACTTGAACCTGTGACGCACGCTGAGTCAGCGTTGTGCGTGGTGGGTTTGGTCAGTTGGGTTTTAGGTGCTGGGCTGCTTTGCTGTCTCTGTCTCAGGCAGATGGCTGTTCACTTGGCTGTCCACTTGCTTCCGTCTATCTGAATGTCTGTTGGAGTAAGTTGTAGGTTAATCCCGTGAGACTGCCAGAGACCCCAAGTCTCCTCTCTGCTGGTCTGCAGTGGTGCTTCCCTCCTCTCCTGGGGGCTGGCTACTCTGCATTGGCTCTTTTGTCCTTGGTTAGTCTGGTTTAAGTTTGTGGTCTTAGAATTAGTCTGATGTAAATGTATTGATTTTATTCATCATTTGAGAGAACCTGATTATATTGATTTTCTCTAATGTCTATTGAATTATGTCTGATCATCTTTGTTTTTTATTCCTTTTGTTTATTTAGGTTCATTTTGCTTTTGTTAGATAATCGACTTAGGCCCATTCTTATTTTCTAATATGTTGCTATAAACTTTCTTTTTTGCTTTGCTTTACTTATATAAATATATCACATTTTCATTTCATTCATTTAAAATATTTTCTGGTTTCCCCTGTGATTTATTCTACGTGGCGTTCATTCAGATGTGTGCTGTTTAATGTGAAGTAATGATGCATGCTGGGAGATTTCTTTTTGCTGCTGATCTCTAGTTAATTCTGTTGTTTCAGAGAAAGTATTTTTCATGATGTCCACTCTCACAGATATGTCTGTGGCCTTGCTGTCTGTGTGTCCACCTCGGCGCGTCCTCCAGGTGCGCTGACTTGTGCCACAGGGCACCCCCCATGTGTGCTCAGGTTGCACTCAGAGGCGTGTTCTCCTCACCTGAGTCCTTGTCCATTTTCTGTCCACAACTGTTGACTGGGGGTGCAGGGTTGGGGGTCGACTCGGGACTCCGCCGTGGGTTGAGGTTCCTACTTGCAGTTTGTGCACCTGTGTTTCCGGGGTGGGGGGGATGCGGGTCCCCATGTGTTTGGGTCTGTTTTGTCTCTTCTTCAGGTTGCAGGTGTCCTGCCTTCGGCTCTACCTGGGAGGAGTGCAGCTGCTCTGGCTCCATGCGAGAGCTTTAGAAGACGTGATCTTGTGTATCAACAGCAGGGCTTTGGAGTAGTTGTACAGTGGAATCTTCCCTTCCTCTGATTGGACAGTCTCTGTTTTCTGATTGCAGTGGTTGAGATGTGCTGTCTGCCAGAGCCTCTGGAGATAGCGGGAGTGTTGTGCTCTGTGCACACGTGGCTGTGGCGGCCGAGGAACTGGATTTATAATGGTATTCAATTGCAATATAGTTCATGCCAGCTCTCTGCCCCGGCTGGCGGCTCCGGCCTGGCCGGGCAGGTTGGCTCCTTTATCTTTAGTGTGATGCTCTGTGTTTCTGTTTGAATCTGCCGCCTTGGTGTTTGCTCCCTGCATTGCCTTTTGTCTCTCTCCCCTGCCCCTGTCCTGGAGTAGTGAGTGCTGCTTAGGTTGGTGTCACTTCTCTGACGCACTGCAGCTTCCCTGCCTCCCTGTGCTCTGCAGTCTGCAGTGGCTTCAGTCTGGGGGGGTCTGGGCTGGCCCCCTTTTCTCCATCAGCCCTAAACTGTCCTCTGCCCCGAATGAGAGCGGCTTAGGGAATCGTGTGGCTCCTTTGTCACATCAGAGAGTGGCTACCTGTGGCTGTGTGACCTGGGAGGGCAAGAGGCAGAGAGGAGGACTAGCATGTTTTCCTCTGCCCTTCCACACTTTGTGTGCTGAGGAGGTAAGTCCACAGCTTGTCCTCTCTTAGTGAATGCTGACGTGCGTGTGTTGGGTGAAGGGCATCTGTGCTGTTGAGGCGGAGACCCACAGGAGATGGGGCACGTGTCGCTCCTGTACTGCAGTCCAGCCAGGCCAAGTGGGCAGTGTGCGCCCTCTCCCCGAGGGTGCTGTCCTTCATCTGCGTGGTCACAGCAGAGTTGCACCCACGGCATCCCAGCCAGGACAGGAGGACTGAGTGAGAGGCAGCCGTCGGGTGGCTGTTTCTTTTAGGTGTGTGAGAGGGAGCTCGCACACTTCACTTGTCAAATTCTGCGGTGGTGGGGCATGGGGAGCGAGAGTCAACCTCTTTGATTGCAAGGGAGGCTGGGAAATGCCCACAGCTATGTGGCTACATGCCCAGGATTTCAGAGAGATGGCCCACAGTGCCCTAGCTGGCATGGCCAGGCGGTCTCTGCCAGTGTTCCCTGTGGTGTTGCTCTTGTCTGCTGAGATGGGGACTCTGCACAGGTGCCCTCCCCAGATTTTGGTGGAGGGCAAAGAGCCAGTCCTGGGATGGACGCTGTAGCTGTCTTTGCTCTGTGTCTCAGCCTTCGGGCCTCCATCTTCATCAACACACATCTCTCCCCTCCTGTGATGA